ATATGTTCAACAATGAATAAACACTTGGCTCAATGGGGATAGTTATTGTTTAGGATTACATTAAGTCTAGCTCTTTCATCATGTCTACCATATGTAACAATGAACAGAGAAAAAGACTCAAAGTGACAGGGGACAGTGATCCCTGCAGAATAAATCTAGGTTAAATTTTAAAATATTGTTCTTATATTACATAAAGAGTATAGATAGTAAGCATAACCAATGAAAATTATAATGCATGGCCAACAAACATATGAAAAAAAAGTGCATCATCACCAGTATAGAGAAATGCAAATTAAAATCATAATGAGATACCACCTCACTCCAGTTAGAATGGAAATCATTAAAAAGTCAGGACACAACAGATGCTGGAGAGGATGTGAAGAAATTGGAACGCTTTTACACTGCTGGTGGGAGTGCAAATTAGTTCACCCATTGTGGAAGACAGTGTGGCAATTCCTCAAGGATCTAGAACCAGAAATACCATTTGATCCAGTAATCCCATTACTGGGTATATACCCAAAGGACTATAAATCATTCTACTATAAAGACACAAGCACATGTATGTTTACTGCAGCACTGTTTACAATAGCAAGACTTGGAGCCAACCCAAATGCCCACCAATGATAGACTGGATAAAGAAAATGTGGCACATATACACAATGGAATAGTATGCAGCCATAAAAAAGATGAGTTCACATCCTTTTCAGGAACATGGATAAAGCTGGAAATCATCATTTTCAGCAAACTAACACAAGAGCAGAAAACCAAACACCACATGTTCTCACTCGTAAGTGGGAGCTGAACAATGAGAACACATGGACACAGGGAAAGGAACATCACACACTGGGGCCTGTTGGGGGTTGGGTAACTAGGGGAGGGACAGCATTAGGAGAAACACCTAATGTAGATGACGGGTTGATGGGTGCAGCAAACCACCATGGCACATGCATACTTATGTGACAAACTTGCATGTTCTACACATGTATCTCAGAATTTAAAGTATAATAATAAAAAGAAAAATATAATGCACACATAATAACTTGTTTGGCTTGTTGTCTACAATATTCAAGAATAGGTATCATATTACTAACAGTTTTAAGGGATTCAATGCAAGATACATTGTTTCTCCAGACCAGTTTATAAAGAAAATTATATAACATATACTTTAGTATCATAGAAATATATACTTGTTTTGCTAATTAGAACTTGTTGATTCCTTAAGAAATTCAATCCATCAGTCAACCCATTAGTGAGGAAGGAAAAGAAGAAGAAAAAAAGAAGGGAGGTGAAGGAAAAGAAAAAGAAGGGAAGAGAGGAAATTCTTCTAAATTGTTATAATTTCAGCAATGTATAAGCAATTTCTGTAACAGTTTTTTGAAGGGAAGAATTTCTAAGAAACTCAGTCTATGGGGTTTAGAAACCGTAAGTTCTAAGCTTCCTAATTAACCTGCTTAGTTAAGTTATACTTAGAATATCAATTGAGCTTCCTCTTCCTCCTTCCCACATACCTTTTTATCCTTTATCCCTCTCTCTGCTTCCCCCTTCCCATTCTCTCTCCCTCTCACTCTTTTCCTCTCTCTCTCTCACTCTCTCTCTCTCTCTCTCTCTCTCTCTCTCTCTCACACACACACACACACACACACAATGTATTTAATTTCATTATTAGTTCAAATTAAGGTAATACAGAAGAAACTCTCTACAGAAATGGTAGAAAGAATAAAAACACACATCAAGTTAAATAAGTCAAAGAGCCGTATCATTTATTGGCTACATTCCCAAAACCATTCTTGTTGTAGATAAACCAATTCTGTCTGATCTGAACAGGTGTGGCTTCAAAATCTCAGAGAGAGTTTACTTCTGTCACTGGTACTATTAGAAACAGCAGGGAGAGGAAACAGTCCCAATCTTAAATCTCAGTGTGCAAAAATCACAATTCTAGGTGTTCCAAAATTTTATATAACATTGTCCGTCTCTACAAACTTGGATAAGGCATCTCAGTGATTATAATTTTTCTCAACATCCCTAACAAATCCACAGGTAGAAGAATTAAACAATATGCAGACATAAGTTTCACTTTACCCAACAATTCACCCAGAGCTTTAGTTTCATATTGAACCAACTCATGTAACTGGACAACATTTGGATCTGTATTAGCCCAGTGCAGCAGAGTTCAAAGATGTTCATATAAATGTTGATTCAAAACTCTTGAGAAACTCTTTACATTTGATCTCATCTTTCATATCGGATCAAAACAAAACAAAATTAAAATACCACCAAACTGCTAAATTGGTTTGGCAAACAAGTCCCAAACTAGAATCCTTTCGAACTAAGTTAACCTGGAGTACATCTAAGCTAAATTGAATTCCCAAGGTCGGATTATAATCAACTATGCTTTAGGAATTCACTAGATCTTGATCAATTCAAATAATAAAAGTTGTTGAGGAGGAAGGAAAAAAAATTGGTGTTCACCCCATTTGGGGAACTTGCCAGTCATGTTATTGGATAATGCATGTATCTGGAAAAGCGCAATAGTCATGGAAGTTGTGTTTTATCATAAAAGTAAAGATTTACACTAAAATAAATCCAAATAAGAAGTCTATTGTTTAACCAAAAGATAAATGATAAAGCTATAATTTTGTTCAGTGCAAACTAAATTACTTTGCTATCTTTCTCAACTCTGTAATTAGCTTGATAAACATTAAACCCATAAGGAAGAGCTCCACTGTACAAGTTTCTTTTTTAAAGACTGCTTAAAAGTAACCTTTAACAAGCTAAGAAAACCAGCTAAAGAAGATTCCAAATCTGCGGTAATAAATCTATTCTTATTACAAATGGTAATATAAACAACCTGATTTATGAATTTAAATGTCTATCAATAAATACTATACTCCTACTTCCTTTTACTTTAGCAAAATATTACTGAATGATGTACCAATGAAACTGTATTACAATAAACATTAGCCCCAACTGAAGAAAAACTTTACTCTCAAATGGAATATAATTTAAATTACAAGTACCAGAACCAAGAAAAGGGAGAAATATTATATAGGAACCTCATAGCCCACCTTTCTTCTTGACTGGCATTCTTGGGTCTTTTCACTGCCACAGGATTCAAGATCTCTTTTCAAGTCTCAGTTTGATCCAACTGGATTGAGGCCAAGAGCCAGGTAACTGTTGCAAAACACTTCACTGATCAGTTTTGAAATCCAGGCTGAGTCTTCTATGTCAGACAAAGAAAATAATGATGTATTTTTCCCACAACTAAACTTCATACACTGCCCAGAGTTTGCAGAAAAGTAATTTTTGAGTTTTTCAAGTTTTTCAATTTTTAGACTGTTTTTAAAAACTGGGAAAATTATTGTAAACATAAAAAACGTTACTGAAATTCCTCTTCACTCAGCAACATTTTTGGAAGTTCAATAACTAACTCAATTAAGGCACAAACCAAATTTACACAGCTGTCTCATTACTTTATACATGGTCAAATTCAAAGATGATGATAAGCATCCCCAAATCTGTAGAGAAAAATTTAACCCCCACCTCCCAAAAAATACTTTTAAAAACCTCTTTGACTCCAGTCTCTAAAAAGGTAGGTGAGTTTGAACAGCTTTCTGGGGCAGAACACACACTGAAAGGCCCCCTTCTATTTACTGATCAGAAGTTTCAGATCTCACCCTCTCAGTAACTCAGGATCCAGCCTGCTGTCACTTTCATTTTTTTCTTCTGTGCTCTCCAAGCCCCCAGGCTTGATCCTTTAATGCCCCTCTGATTCTGATCCTCCCATGTATTAACCAAGAGGATTGAAAAAAAGGAAAGCAATCCCTTGGCATGGAGACATTAAAGTGACAGTGCTACTCAATGGGCACTTGATGCAGGATGAGTTGGCGAAGGAGACTTCTTCACACTGGAGTCATTCACATTATGCCATCTCTTCGCATACAAGCAGCTCCCTATCCGGCAAGGAAAAACACTGAAACTTCAAGAGAAGCCAAACCTTCTCCCAGAGGTGTTTTCAGAGACGCCGTAGTAGTATTAGACATGTAAGCATAAGCTATGCAAACGGTCCGCGATTTCCTAAATGAGAAAGTGCAGCTGCTTGGTTTTCACATCCACCTTTTCTCTCAATCTCTCTTCAAACTACCCACCTTCCTTTTGCAGAAAAGACAGGACATTTCTCTGACACCGCTGGCCACCCCTGCCCAAGCCCCGTTCTTTTAGGGAAGAGCACTGAAATGTCCTGCACCCTTCACGCGATGAAGTGTTTCCTCAGGCAGGAGCAACAGCAGCACTAGAAATTATATAACTCTCGAATTTGGCTTTTCTAAGATATGGAGACTGGAGGGTCGGGGGTTGCCGGTCTGGGAGATACTGCTGGGCATTTAAGCGCACAAAATAGCGTCAGGCCTTGCAGTGCCCCCTACCCCAAGACACGGCTGACAAACGGGTCTTCTCGGGGGGTAGGGAGCAAATTTCTCTACGGTCTCTTTCCAAGCGGGGCTTAAGCATGGAAATGAGGGGACTACAGACTGGGGAGAGGATTCAGACGGCTGAGAGGGGAGGAGGCTAGTCGGGGCTGCTTTGACGGCATTCGGCTGCTGGTTGGGGGTTTTGAGGAGGAGGTGCCCGAGAAGCAGAGCTTTAACACACAGGCCAGGTCAAAGGGGCGAGTTCCCTCAAGGACTGAAAGGGGCAGGCAGCTAGTTCCCAGCTAACAGAGCTGCCCTGAGGAGAGGCAGGAGCGCAGCAACATTCCAAAATTCGGGCCGCCCCATCTTACCCGCAGGACGCGGGGAGAGGCGGTAGCTAGACTGACAAATAGCAAGAGGAGGAAATACTCGGCTGGCGAGCGGGGCGGGCCCGCAGGCATCTGGACCTCTTCTAAGCAAATGAGTGGCCGTAATTTCCAGATTCCGCGCCCAATCACAGTCAGGATGGAGGGCGCGGCTTTTGACTGAGTGGGGGCCGGCCCGGGCTGCAAGCGAGACGCGTGAGCCGTAAATCAGCACCACTTCCCTCCCAGGGCGTTCTGGGTCCCCGCCCCCTTGCAAGTCACGTGAGTCATCAAAATGGCGGCGCTCGGGTATGAGGCTGGGGCTAAGTTGGATTCAGGTGTGGAGCCGGTGGGAGCTGAGGAAGCGCCCAAGGTAGGCGGAAACCCGAAGTGGTATAGTGGGGGTGATTTCTGCAGCTTCAAAGTGTTGGCAGACTCTTCTAAGATGATACACGTAAAGGAGATTTGAAACGTTAAAGAACACAGCTCCCAAGTCCATGCAAGGAGCAGTCGATTTAAGTCTCCAGTTGCTGTGGAAAGAGGCGGAGAGAACGTAGAAGACCTAAAGTCAAGTCCTCATTATCTGCAGTTTGTTTTCTCTTGTCTCCAGGTCTTTGCAAAGGCCTTTTCTTCAACTTGGAATATTTTCCTGCTTCTATCCATCCCAACTCCTGTGGCAAATTGTTCTCTTTCGGGCATTGGTTTAAATGCCACTTCCTCGGGGAAGCCTTCCCATGCTTCCTCTGGCTAGATCGTTTGCCTTTTCTTGGTTTGTTGGGTTTTTTGTTTATGTCGCTCTCTCATTCTGCGTTTAAATTGTTCTAAACCCTCACTACATTGTGGATTCCCAAGGATGGGATTACCGGGAGGCCTGGCATATACCAGGTACTCCCTAAATGATGAGCGAACATTCAATGAAATTCTAAAGTTTAGGTGAAATAATAAACCTGAAAGCACTACAAAACCGTCAAATGCTTTGCAAACTATAAACCTACATATATGCAGTCTTACTGGTATAAATGTGGTGATTAGTTGAGTGGCCTTAAAAGGGGAGGGGTGTAATGAAAGCAGTTGATCTTCGACAGTGCCTTGGAAAGCTTAAGCACTTAATAAATATTTCCTGTGTTGTTTTCAGCATTTAGTATTTGCTGTCCTGTAATCATAATCCTGGGTGTTTTCCCTATAGAGATTTTAGGGTGTAGACTAGGTAGGAGATTAGTAGAGGATGTTGCCTGAAAGTTTGTTTTGTTTTTCGTTTTTGGTGGGAGGTGGGGGACTTCAATGAATTGGATGAGAGCAAAACAAAAATTTATCTAAGGTTTATGGTTACTCATGTTATTGGCATCTGCCCTTTTAGTACAATAGATGGGTTAGGTATACAACCTCCCTTAGATGTTACTATCTCTTATACTTTACATTTGGGTGTCAGGGAGAGGCAAAAGATTAAGTCTAGTCCCTGAAAATTTGTAATCTGTAAAATATTTTACCTTTTTTCCCCCTGCCCTCTCCAGAAATGTTACAGAAAAAGATCGAGTACAGTTGTGCAATGATGCAGAGAAAGAAACTGGTCCATTATTACTCCCTGTGTAACACCATGAGAAAGTTCAAAGGAGCCCATACCTTCTGTATGTTGATGCCAGGAGCAGGAGCTGTGGATAATTAGCTGGCCCTTCTATAGTTAGGACTGGAACATACTGCTCATTCAGCAAATGAGTATTACAGTGATATTCAACGTATGTCCATTGACTACAGCATCAGAAACCCTTGGTGCTATTAAAATGGAGAGTCTAGGCCTCATTCTACTGTTACGGAATCCAGTTATCTCAGGAGGGAGTTCATGAGACTGCATTTCAAATAAATACGCCACATGATTCTTGTGCATGCTGAAGGTTGAGAACCACTGATTTATTAAGTATCTTCTGTGTTCATTATGCTTCATCCACTCTAATTCTCTTGCCTAGGACTCCTTAAATTTGAGATTTAGTATTTGCCTTTAATATAAACATTAAAATTGGGATTAGTGTAAATTTGTGAAGAGGCTGTTTGGCTAATCCAGATGAAAAAGAGTAAGAAGCAGTGAACTTAGCATCAATAGACCTTCCACTTGCTGCTGTAGTAGGTAAACATTTGCAGCCACATGTTTGGATTTAACAAATGTTATTAAGACTTCACAGAGACCGTAGAGTCTTGCCCAGAGCAAAACTTCAGAAAGGATCCTGTCTGAGAGTGCAGGGTTTGCTTTTTTGTTGTTTTGTTTTTTAACCTCTCTAGTTTCTGTTAAGATGCTACTGGCCAAATCTTCATGGTCCCTTGACATTGGCAGCTGTCTATTTATCACACTTAGGACACAAGAACCTTACAACCGAGGAGCCCAGTGCCATGGGCCTCTGCTCTGGCACATGCCCATTTCTCACAAAGGCTCTGCTTCCACCACAGATGCTAATAGGGAACGGGATATATAATTTATGTACTCCAAAGTAGTAGCCACCATCCACTGCCTGTTCCCTTTCTGGAGCAGTGCCCCTCTTTCTGATTTTCTCTCTCGCTGTTCTCCAAGGCAATCCCTGCTCTCTGCTACCTCTCCAGGAAATACAGCACTATTTCCAAAATAAGCGCAGTCTTTCATGAGAAACTGGGGATAAAGATGTCAATAAGCAGCCACTGTTTCCACTTCCCCACCTGAAGAACTAGGACAACTACAAAGGGCCTGACTACCTTCTTGGAATCAGGAGAGGAGAAAACTAAGGAAAACAGAAACAGTATCAGTATGTCATTCTTCTACACTAAATCTTAAGGCAAGCGAACCTTTCAGAACCTCAGTTTTCTCATCTGTATAGAGATAATCATCATACTACCAATTTCTTGGGTTAGTGTGTGAATCAGAAAGCCAGTATCTGTGCATTGTAGGGTGTTTAGCAAGAAAAAATATATATAACAAAAAGCCAGTGTCTAACAGATAATAAGAACTCACTAAATATTGATTGAATTATTAACATAAAGTATGTGAAAGCAGCTGACATAGTACCTGGCACACTACTAAACTATAAATGTTTTTAAATCTGAATCTATAAATTCTGTAAGGAATTATTAATATTAACATCATTAGCTATTATGGCTCTGGAATTTTCTTTTCCAGGATGTCAAGATGACAGCATATATGCATGGTCAGCCGAGTCCTTTTCTAGAAGACGCAAAACTCAGAAGACCAATGATCATAGAAATCATAGAAAAAAAATATGAATGTCTTAAAAAAGAAATGTAAGAGAAATACCCAGGCTGAAAGTCAGTCATTTTATTTGCAAGTTTTTTATATTGCCGTTGTTTCTGAGATCCAATTCTTTGTTATTTATTCTGTTATCTAAGATTCTGTTCTTTGTGTTGGTTATGAAGAACACATCTTTTAAAAAAAGAATGGGGAAAACAAGAAGAGATGAAAATAGTGGTTTGTTGGAATATTTGGGTTTGTGGATAATTTCTTTTGTTTCTTAAAAGTATCCAAAAGTATTGCTAAAACATTTATGTACTAAATATATTTTAATTAAAAGTAATTAGGAGAAAATCCTTTGGGGGGGCTTATATTTAATTGGTGAATAATTATAATCAGTTTAGGATTGATTATCTCAGTCACAGTACTTAGTACAGCAAAAGGGAATACAGATTCCGTGGTATAAATACAGTGTCACATTACCATTTTGACTTTCTTTTTTTTTTGAAATGGAGTCTCATTCTGTCACCCAGGCTGGAGTACAGTGGTGCGATCTGGGCTCACCACAATCTCCAGCTCCTGGGTTCAGGTGATTTTCTTGCCTCAGCCTCCTAAGTAGCTGGGATTACAGGCATGTACTACTACTACCACACAGCTAACTTTTGTATTTTTAGTAGAGATTGTTTCACCATGTTGGCCAAACTGGCCATTTGGACTTTTAAATGAACAGAGTTCAATAATAAAATCAAAGGACAATTGATCTTAGTTTCTGGATTTAGGTATGGGTTTTGTTTTTTTTTTTTCTTTTTGAGATGGAGTCTTGCTCTGTCACCCAGACTGGAGTGCACCGCAGTCTCTGCTCACTGCAGCCTCTGCCTCCTGGGTTCAAGCGATTCTGCCTCAGCCTTCTGAGTAGCTGGGAATACAGGTGCATGCCACCACGCCTGACTAATGTTTTGTGTTTTTAGTAGAGATGGGGTTTCTCGGTGTTAGCCAGGTTGGTCTTGATCTCCTGACCTCATGATCCACTCTCCTCTGCCTCCCAAAGTGCTAGGATTACAGGCGTGAACCACCGCGCTCGGCCATAGCTATGGGTCTTAATAAGAAAACTAGATCAGATTTTTTTAGATGAAGTTTTGTAAAATCTTGGACAAATTATTTTAAATGTATCTGGACTAATGAAGAAATGGAAGGCCTAACCAAATGTAAACAGCTTTCTTTTTTTAGATGAACTTAAAGTAAATCTTTTTAGTCACAGAAAAGGTACTCTTGGATTTGGGTAGCTCATAAAATTTGACTACATTGGAACATATTTATATTTATTTGTGGCCAAAATTATTTAAAAGAGCTCTATTTTAGAACTACTCTAAATATTCTCAGAAAGAGAATCATGTCCTCTTATTAGAATATAAGTTCTCTAAGGGGTGGGGATTTTCTTTCTTTTTCTTTTGCTTTGTTTACTCTCCTATCTTAAGCACTTAGAAATACTTTTCACATAGTGAGTGCTCAAGATATATTTGATACTGAGTAAATACGCAATAACAACTTTTCAGGAAAGGCTATATCCATTAAGGTCAATGTTATTGTGAACTGAATATTTCTTTTTTTCTATTAGGATGCCATATATATATCATATGACATTGATTGGAACAGCAGCTGGTTGCACTGGAATATTCACAAACTTCACATTCAGACACACCTTCAAGGTCAAATATGATGCTTTGAAGACATATGCATCATTGGCTACAGTTCCATTTTTGTCTACTGTGGTTGCCCACAAGCTTCTTGTAATCGATGCTTTGTATTCAGGTGAATTTAAATTCACTATTGTATAATGTAGTTATGTCTAAGTAAAGTTACTGATTAACATTATACTGTTGCTACTTCTAATAATAATTCTTTACATTTCTATATTGCTAACAGTTTACAAAGTACTTAATCAAATGTAATCCCTGCAACAATCCTCCTAATCAGGTAAATAGTATTCTTTCCTCTTTATAGACAAGCAAGAAACTCAAACTGAGACATGTTCAAGTAGACTAATAAGCAACATCCTGGGAAAGGAATTGGCTGTGGCTTACAACACATCATTTCAGTATCCTGCCTCCTGCCACTTAGGTTTTGTGACATTCAGCATGTCATTTCATCTCTGAGCCTCAGTTGTCTTATCTATGAATTCAGACTAACAGTATTCACCCCACAGGATTGTTGTGAGAATTAAAAGATACTGTATGTTAAATGCCTACCACAATATCTGTCATATTACTGGCTTTCCTGCTCATAATAGTTATTTCCTGCCCCTCACCTGACTTCGTTCATTCTTCAGGTCCCTGCTTAAATATCTTTTCCCCAGGGAGACCTCTAATTCATTGCACATTAGGTGTCTGGATGTATTCTCTATACAGTTTATCTTCAAAGGATTGTGTATACTTATAATTATTTAGATATTCGTCTAATGTCTTTCTTCCCTATAAACTGGCCAGAAGGTGAGAGATCAGGTCTCTTTTAAGTACCTAGCACATTCCTGATACATAGTAAATAATAAAAATGTATTATCCTAGAATCCAGGTCTAGTCTGCTAGTTTAGTATTCTGTCATTATAAAATTGCTTCTGGCCAGGCGTGGTGGCTCATGCCTATAATCCCAACACTTTGGGAGGCCAAGGGAGGCCAAGGTGAGCAGATCAGTTTAGGCCAGGAGTTCAAGAGCAGCCTGGCCAACACAATCTCTACTAAAAATAGAAAAGCAGCTGACGTGCTGGTGCTTGCCTATAATCCCAGCTGCTTGGGAGGCTGAAGCATGAGAATTGCTTGGAGGCAGAGGTTGCAATGAGCCAAGATCACACCACTGCACTCTAGCCTGGGCAGCAGAGTGAGACTCTGTCTCCAAAAAATAAAATAAAATTGCTTCTACAACAATCACATATATTAGAGGTAATTCTCTATATGATAAAGTATATAATAAAAAGTGTTTTTAAAATGTGCTGCATTTAGTCTGTTATATGCCAGAGTTTGAATTTCTGATATTCTTTCTGTGGTTTACTTGTGGTTGAGGACAGTGCAGATAACTACTCTGTGAGGTACAACACTATCTTAATAGCCCTTGAGTTTTAAAGGGAAACCAAATTTACTTTTGTTTTCCAGATAATATAAGCAAGGAAAACTGTGTTTTTAGAAGTTCACTGATTGGCATGGTATGTGGTGTTTTACAACCTAATTCTTCGGCTTTTCTTAAAAATGGACGTCTGGCAACCAAGTAAGTTGCTCCTTTTTCTTCTTTTTTTTTTTTAAGGTTAATAAACTCTGTTTATTCTTTATGTCTATGATATATTTGAACCAAAATGTGGTAGTTTGGTATTTCAAATAGCTAACTTTTAACTTTTTGCTCTCTACATTACAGACCTAGAAAAGCAATGATCAGTTTTGGAGAAGTCAACAGACTATTAATAGCATTCATATCCAGGAGAAGTGATTAACTCTTTTTTCTTTTTAGGTATCATACCATTCCACTGCCACCAAAAGGAAGAGTTTTACTCCACTGGATGCAGCTTTGTCAGACCCAAGTTAAATTAATGGCAATTCCTCTAGTCTTTCATATTGCGTTTGGAGTAATTAATGGTCTACACTATTATACAGTATTTGAAAGCACACTTCAGAAAACTGTACCTGAAGAGTAACCAAAAAAATGAATGGTTTCTAACTTAGCAGAGTGAATTTTTTGTGAAGTGGACTCGGGCATTGATGAAATTGTTAAAAGTAACTCTGAACAATTTGTTTCTGTGCCTTTTGCCTGGCATATAGCAAATACTCAATACATATTCAATATGCAATCAATAAATAAAAATTTCATCTTACATGTAAGATTTAAGTTTTATCTCTCCTCATGGTACGTCCATTTTGCCTGGTATATAACAGATAATAAATATTAAGTATTTCAATAAATGTAAACAATAAAAGTTTCATCTTTCCTCTGTGGAAATGGGTTTGGGATTCAAGGTCTAATCTGTGCAGGTATATATTTATTCATTCATCAAACATTTATTGAGCTATTTCTCAGGCACTATGTTAAGTATCATTCCAGCGGGCGCAGTGGCTCACATCTGTAATTTGGGAGGCCAAGACGGGCGGATCACCTGAGGTCAGGAGTTTGAGACCAGCCTGGCCAATATGGTGAAACCTCATCTCTACTAAAAGTACAAAAAAAAAAAAAAGCTAGACATGGTGGTGTGTGCCTATAATCCCATCTACTTGGGAGGCTGAGGCAGGAGAATCACTTGAACACAGGAGACAGAAGTTGCAGTGATCCAAGATCACACCATTACACTCCAGCCTGGGTGACAGAGCAGAAACTCAATCTCAAAAGAAATAACTTTTTTCCCTAGAAAGAACACAATTGAAGAGGAATAAGAAGTGTGAGCACATAATGTGATAGGATTTGAGAGAGATACACATAATTCTGTAAGGGCACTGAGGGTATGGATGTTAACTAGGCAGAAGGGGAAGCTGTGGTGGAAAAAAGTAACAATTGAGCTAAATTTCAAAGGAGAAATTGGAAGTTCTTAAGAAAGGAAGGTATGGGAATAACAGCCCATTTCTCTACACTACCTTCTCGCTTGCAAATTGTCTTCAGTATGTAGTTTAAAGGACTTGTTTTTAACCTTCAATTCTAGTTTTTGAGAAAGAATATTTATTGAGTTCCTATATGCCACGCATTGAGATAGGCACCAAGGGTACAAAGATTCAGTGCTTGCCGCTAAAGAAGCTTAAAGTTTACAGTATTTTTTTTGTTTGTTTTAGATGGAGTCTCACTCTGTAGCCCAGGCTGGAGTGCAGTGGCACAATCTTGGCTCACTGCAACCTCTGCTTCCCGGGTCCTGGTTTAAGCGATTCTCCTGCCTCAGCCTCCCAAGTAGCTGGGATTACAGGCACACGCCACCATGCACAGCTAATTTTTGAAATTTTAGTAGAGATGGGGTTTTGTCATTTTGGCCAGGCTGGTCTTGACCTCCTGACCTTGTGATCCACTCACCACAGCCTCCAAAAGTGTTGGATTACAGGTGTGAGCCACTATGCCTGGCAACATGTTTGTTTAGAGTTTCCTAAGGCATCCTTGAGCTGCCCATTTATCTTAGTTCAGAAAATGAACACGGACAAGAAGAATTACAGAATGGAACTGTACATCTCATTCTCCATATCCTAACCATATTCATTTAGAGATTAAAAACATGGTAACCTTGGAAATACAGGAAGGTTGACTTAAATTCACCTCTCCTACCACCAGAAAGTGGAATAAATTTGTACCTTACTCCATGACTTCAGATTGTTCTGTAACAAAAAAAAGCTGGCAAATTCCTTCAGCTTTGAAATGCACTAATTGCCACAGTGACTATAAGAGGCCTGAAAGGAGAAATTAGGGAAACCTTGGCCTGCTGGGCTTGAGCCCAAAGGTGAAGCCAGGTGAAACAGTGAAAAAAAGCAACAAGTGCAGAGTTGTGAAGGTCAGCTTGCAGCTCTATTCAAGATTGAAATCCTGGCCTCATTACTTATTAACAAGATAATCTTGAATAAGCTATTTCACGTCTCTGCACTTAAGTCTCCTTATCTATCAAATGAGGAATAAAAACTGTACTCAATCTCAAAGTGTTATATTAAATGAGTTAATATATGTAAATCAAAACAGGACCCAACTCATACAAAATCTAAATGTATTAGCTGCTATCTTAGTCCACTTGGGCTAATGTAACAAAATAGCATGGACTGGTGACTTATAAACAACAGAAATTTATTTCTCATAGTTGTGGAAGCTAGGATTTGGTGTCTGAGAGCCTGCTTTCTTGTTCATAGATAATGCTTTCTTGTGTCCTCACATGATGGAAGGGGCAAGAGCGCTCTCCGGATCCTCTTTAATAAGTGTAAAAACCTCATTCATGGGGGCTCTGCCCTCATGACCTAATCACTTCCCAAAGGCCTCACCACATAATACCATCACCTTGGGGTTAGTATTTCAAAATACAAATTCAGGAGGCACAAACATTTAGACCATAGCAGCTGTCATTATTGTTACTATTGCTGCATGTCAAGTATCACGGTCCTTTTCCTAGTCTGTAGTTATCAGTCTAGTCTAGCACTTCGGTAGAAAAATTAGAAATGTCCACTAAAGAGAAGCCACAAGATATCTTTCATTTGAATAAATACATATTCACTTATTCAGCTAATGTTGATTAAACACATTGTATGAAAGATATTTAATACTACATATTGAGCAAGCTATGTAAACTTTCTGTGTTTTCTCTTAAAACATATTAACTGCTTTATAGTGTGGTTATAAAAAGTAAAGTACATAGAACCATACCATACCACACCTGGCATGTAGAAGTTGCTCAGTAAATGTATTTACATCATCTGTTTTCCCTGATAGGTGTATAATAATAACTAAGATATGGTCCCTCTTATAAGAACTTACCTTCACTCTGTTTTTTTTTGTGTGTGTGTGTGTGTGTTTTTAAGGATACTGATGTGTGTTTTTTAATTAAATTAAATTTTCTATCTTCATGAGTTAAAAATTTAAAGCCAGAGAGTAATATGCTAATAAGAAAAATTTAAGGTAAAGTATAGTAGTATTTTCAAGTTATAACACTTTGTTTTTAATGACAAATTAACAAATACAATATGAATGAATTAATGTATTATATACACACATAATGTATGCAAATAGTATTGCGTGTGGGTATATATATTTATATATGCATAAGGTATCATGTTTGCCAGTGCATTTGTTATGCACAAATTATGTATCCATTTATTTTCTGATTTTTTTTTTTTTTTTGTAAGAATTTCAGGACACCAACAGCAAAGCATTAAACCAAGTTCAGGGACCTTCTAAGCACAGAGCTCCAAGCAACTGCACAGAAAGCATGTACACAAAAAGAGCTGTGGCTGTAGTCCAGGATATTTCTTTCTTTCTTTTTTTTTTTTTTTTTTTTTTAGAAAGAAAAAGAGAGAACAGGAATGTAGCTTTATTCTAAAAATGGGTATTAATAATGGCTGATCAATATTCTGTGTATTTAAGATGGAGAATGGAGAATGTATATTTTGTGTATTTAAAATGGAGAGCTCTATAAATATTTATTGAGTTTACTTGTTCGTATCTGAGATCAAGTCCTGGATATCCTTATTAATTTTCTGTTTCGTTGAGTCTAAATCTCTTTATGGGTCTTATGTATCGAGTGTTAGGATCATTAGCTCTTATTGTTGCATTGATCCTTTTATCACTATATCTTTGTTGCTTTGGAATCTATTTTATCACATGCGAGAATTGCAACTCCTACTTTTTATTTATTTATTTATTTTTGCTCTCCATTTGGTTGGTAAATCTTTCTCCATCCCTTTGTTTTGAGTCTTTGTGTATCCTTGGATGTGAAATGGGTCTGGATGTAGCATACCATTAGGTTTTAGATGTATCTTTTGATTGGGGGATTTAGTCGACTTAAATTTAGGGTTACTGCCATTTGATGTTAACTGGCTATTTTATCCATTCGTTGATGTGAATTCTTCTTTATGTTGATGCTCTTTACTTCTTAGTATATTTTTAGAAAGGCTAATACTGGTGTTCCTTTCTATGTATAATGCTTCTTTCAGAAGCCCTTGTAAAGCAGGCCTGGTGGTAATAAAATCTCTGAGTACTTGCTTGTTCATAAAAGATTTTATTCTTCCTTCAATTGTGAGGCTTAGTTTGGCTGGATATAAAATTCTGGGCTGAAAGTTCTGTTCTTTAAGGATGTTGAATATCAGCCCCCACTCTCTTCTGGCTTGTAGAGTTTCTGCTGAGAGATCTGCTGTAAGTCTAATAGGCTTCCCTTTGTGGGTAACCTGACCTTTCTCTCTGGCTGCCCTTAGTATTTTCTCCTTCGTTTCAACCCTGGTGAATCTAATGATTATGTGCGTTGGGGTTGCTCTTCTTGAGGAATATCTTTGTGGTGTTCTCTGTATTACCTGGGGTTGAATATTGTCCTGCTTTGCTAGATTGGGAAAGTTTTCCTGAATAATACCCTGAAGAATATTTTCCAACTTGGATTCATTCTCTTCGTCATATTCAGGTACACCTATCAAACGTAAATTAGGTCTTTTCACTTAGTCCCATATTTCTTGGAGACTTTGCTCATTCCTTTTTATCCTTTTTTCTCTATTCTTGTCTTCTCGTTTTATTTCATTAAGTAGGTCTTTGATCTCTGCTATTCTGTCTTCTGCTTGATCAATTTGGCTATTCAAACTTGTGCATATTTCACTAAGTTTTTGTGTTGTGTTTTTCAACTCCATTAGTTCATTTATATTCCTCTCTATATTTTCTATTCTTGTTAGCATTTCATCAAACCTTTTTTCAAAGTTCTTAGTTTCTTTACATTGGGTTAGAACAAGTTCTTTTAACTCCCAGAAGTTTCTTATCCTCCACCTTCTGAAGCCTACTTCTGTTAATGGCACACAGTCCTTTTCCATCAGGGCTTGTTCTGTTGCTGATGAGGAACTGTAATCCCCTGTAGAGGGAGAGGGGTTCTGATTGTGGGTATTCTCAGCCTTTTTAGGCTGGTTTCTTCCCTTTGTTATAAATTTATCCATCTGTGGTCTTTACAATTACTGCCTTTCTAGTTGGGTTTCTGAGTGGACGTCCAGTTTATTGATGCCCAGAGCCGGAATCTGAGCAACCCGCTGCGCCAGCCATAACAGCAGTGTTAAGACTGATGGTGCTCTTCTGCCCGGGAATCTCCTTCCCGTTTACTCTGCACAAAGAGCTGCCGCACCGATGCGCCAGCAAAACCGCTGCGCCGGCCACAAGAGTCGCGCTGGTGACCCGTGGGGCTCCTCCACTGGGAATCTTCTGGTCCACGAGCGACAAAAATTCATCTGAAAGTGTGGCATCCTCTCATTCTCTGCGCTTTCACTGGGAGCTACAATCCCGAGCTGTTAGCGATCAGCCATCTTGGATCACTTACCTTCACGCTGACCTCTTCATTTCCCCTGACTCCCTTCACCATGTGATTTCCCTGTGATTTTGTGTTGTTACTACATTGCACTGCATTGCTTGGGTTGTATTGTGTACTGATTTTCTCTCTGCTTTTGTACAATTGTCTTATCTTGCATTAACTACTCAGTTTTTGAATTTTTCAAGTTTAAGCAGTAACCTAACAATGAAAAAATAGTATTTTACACATGTGGTTGAATTTCATAGAATTTGTTCACCCACCTTCCTCAGCTTCATTAAAAAAAAATTCTTCCAAAGACATAGAACTCATACTCCCCTAGCTTTATCATTCTAAAAGACAGGCAAACTAACATTAATAAACATGAATAATTGAATCTTGGTAGCCCTAAACCCCACCAGCTTCACTATAGGAACAAAGAAATCCACCCCAAAGTCTCCCCAAGATTACACATTGCAGAAGAAAAGATCAGTGAACCTAAAGACAAAGCAAACTACAAAACTACTACAAGAAAGCTTGGGGGAAATTCTTCAGGACATTGGATTTGGCAACGATTTCTTGGATATGACATCAAAAGCACATGTAGCAAAATCAAAAACAAGCAAATTGTGACTACATCACACTGAAAAACTTGTGTGTATCAAAATAAACAAAAGCATGAAAAGGCAACCTAAAGAATGGAAGAAAATAATTGCAAATCATACATCTGAAAAGCGGTTACTATTCAGAATATATAAGGAACTTCCACAACTCAACAACAACAAAAACCAACAACTCTAAAAATAAGCAAAAGACTTCAATAAACATTTATCAATAAAAAGGTATATAAATGGCCACTAAGCATATAAAAAGACACCAACATCACTAACCATTAGGGAAATGCAAATCAAAACCACAGTGAGATATCACCTCACACTCATCAGAATGAGTATACTTCTAGGTATATATCCAAAAGAATTCCAAGCAAGATCTTAAAGAGATCTTTGCACATTATTCACAATAGCCAACAGGTGGAAGCAACTCAAATGTCTGTCAACAGATTAATAGATAAAGAAAATGTGGTATAATACACAGAATGAAATACGCAGCATTAGGGAGGAAATCTTTCCACATGCTACAACATAGATGAACCTTGAGGACATTACACAAAATGAAATAAGCAAAATAAGCAGTCACAGAAGGACAAATACTGTGTCATGCCACTCATATGAGGTATCTGAAGTAGTCAAAGTTACAGAAACAAAGTAGAAGGTTACCAAGGGCTAGGGGATATGGGGAGGAGGAATTAGTATTTAGTCGGTATAGACTTTCAGGGTTGTAAGATGAAAAAGTTCTAGAGATCTGTTGCATAACAATGTAAGTATAATTAACACTACTGAACTACATACTTAAAAATGTTTAAAATGGTAAACACAATGTTATATGCTTTTATACAACAACAACAACAAAATCCTGCAACCAAATACTGTTTTAGACTTACACAATGTGAAATAATTAATCACCAGAAGGCCTGCATTCTAAAAAATCTTAAAGGAAGAAGTACTTCAAATAGAATGAAAATGATATCAGATGGAAATCTAGAAAAATGAAGAACACTAGAAATGGCAAATATGTAGGTAAACATAAATTTCCTTATTTTAAAAAATTCTTTCAAAGACAAATGACTATATATTATGTGGTTTATAACATGTAGAAGTAAATGTATGACAACAGTAACTCCAAGACTAGGAGGGAAGACGTGAAGTTATAAAATTCTAATACTACACATTAAGTGACATATTACTTGAAAGTAGATCATGATAAAGATATTGTTGTGGGTTGAATTGTGCCCCCTCAAAACATATGTGTAAGTCCTAAGCTTGGTACCTGTGAATATGTCCTTATTTGGAAATAGGGTGTTTGCAAATGTAATCAAGTTAAGATGTAGTATATTGGATTAGGATGAACTTTATCCAGTGACTGATGTCTTTATAATACCAGGTAAATTTGAGCACACAAACACAACACAGAGGGAAAATGGCCACATAAAGCCACAAAGACATAAGGGGAAACACCATGTGAATACAGAAGCAAAGACTGGAATGACACATCTATAAGCCAAGAGACACCAGGGATTGCAGACAACCACCAGATGCTAGAGAGAAGGCTTGAACAGATTCTCCTTCAGGGCCTTCAATAGAAACCAACCTTGCCAATACATTAATTACAGATTTATAGCCTCCAGAACAGTGAGAGAATAAATTTGTTGTTTGAAGCCACAGTTTGTGGTACTTTCTAAAGATAGCCTTAGGAAACTTCATGTGTGCTATATGTGCTAAAGCAATCATTACAGTTTTTTAAAAGAATTATAACTAGTAGGAAGCCAAAGGAGATGAAATGGAAAAAAATTCAGTTAGTCCAAAAAAAGGCAGAAGGAAATGTATAACAGAGGACAAACAGGAAGCTGATCGATTTAAACTCTAGAATATAAAAATTATATTAAACATAAATGGTCTAAACGACCCCCCCATGAAATGTCAGAAATTGCCTATTTAGACAAAAAACAAAATCCAGCTATATATTGCCTAAAAGAAATCTGCATTAAATCTAAAGACTCAAATAGGTTAAAAGGATAGAGAAAGCTGTGTTGTGTTAACACTAATGAAAAGAAAGTTACTGGAGTGGCTACAGTGATATCAAACAGGCCAGGCACAGTGGCTCATGCCTATAATCCCAGAACTTTAGGAGGCCAAGGCAGGAGGACTGCTTGATCCCAAGAGTTCAAGACTAACCTAGGCAACATAGTGATATCCTGTTTCTACAAAGAAAAAAAAAAAACTTACCTGGGCATAGCTACTCAGGAGGCTAAGGCAGGAGGATCACTTGCCAGAAGGTCAAGGCTGCAGTGAGCCGTGACAGTGCCATTGCATACCAGCCTGGGTGGCAAAGTGAGACTCTGATTCAAAGGAAGGAAGGAGGGAAGGGAGGGTGGGAGGGCGAGGATTTCAAAACCATATTACCAAAGAATAAGGAGGATATTTCCTAATGATACAGGGATAAATTCATCCTACGTGTTAATTCATATAATAATGGAGCTTGAAAATAACATAAAGCAAGAGCTGACAGAACTGAAAAGAGAAACAGAAAATCCTCATAATGGTTGGAGATTTCAATACCCTTCCCTCAATATTAATAAAACAAGTTGGTGGAAATTCAGAAAGGATAAAGGCCATGAGACAATTTGTGCTAATTGATGTTTTTAGAATTCATGGCACAACAGCAGAGTACATGTTCTTTGCAAGTACAGGTGGACCACTTACCAAGATGGACCAGAATCTACTTTATAAACCTCAATAAAATTAAAAGGATTCAAATCATACAAAGTATATTTTCTGACCAGAATGGAACTGAATTGGAAACCAATAGCAAAATGGTATCTGGAAAATTGGAACTATTTGAAACTAACACACTTCTAAATAATCCACATGCTAAAGAGGAAAGCAAAGTGAAATTAGGGAGTCTTTTGAACTGAATTAAATAATACAGAACATTTAAAAATCTATGGGATACAGTTAAAGCATTACTTGGAAATCTGTACTACTAAACACATGTTAGAGGGAAAAAAGATCTCAAACCCCTCAGCTGTGTTTTTAAGAAATGAGAAAAAGAGGAGCAACTCAAATCCTAGATTGGAATAAGAAAAGAAATAATACAGAACAGAGGGGGAAAAAAACAAACAGAAAACAGAAACCAAAATGTGGTTATTTGAGATTTTCAAAAAGGCGTGGCACTTTGGCTTACGCCTGTAATTCCAGCACTTTGGGAGGCCAAGGCAGGTGGATCATGAGGTCAGGAGTGTGAGACCAGCCTGGCCAACATGGTGAAACTCCGTCTCTACTACAAAAATTATACTAAAAAATAAAAAAAAAAAAAAACTACAAAAATTAGCCATGCGCGGTGGTGGGTGCCTATAATCCTAGCTACTCCAGAGGCTGAGGCAGGAGAATTGCTTGACCCCGGGAGGTGGAGGTTGCAGTGAGCCGAGATCATGCTACTGTACTCCATTTGGGCAACAGAGCAAGATAGTCTCGGAAAAATAATAATATTAATAAACAATTACCAGATAGATCAGCCATAAAAAAGGGAAGACATAAATGACCAATATCAAAAGAGATGTGTTTCACCAGATTCTACAGATGTTAAAGTGATAATAAGAGAATATTTTTGAACAATTTAAGCCAATCAACTTGAGAACTTAGGTGAAATGAATAAATGAATATTTGATTTTGTTTTTTGAAGATGTATGAAGTTCACTCAAAAAGAAATAGATAATCGGGGTAGCCATATATCTATCATGAGTACTGAATTTGTAGTTAAATCCTCCCTACATGGAAAACTCGGATCTAGAAGTCTTCACTGGTAAATACCAAACATGTAAGGAAGAAATAATACCAATCTGAGTAAAACTCTCCAAAAAAATTGAATAGGAGGGAACACTTGCCAAGTCATTCAATAAATCCAGCAATATCCTGATCTCAAAGCCAGATAAAAACATTTTGAGGAAAGAAACTACAGCCTAACACTCCTCATGAACATCCATACAAAAACTTTTGACATAATTTAGCAAACCAAGTACAAAAATATATATATGAAGAATAGTACCTCATGGCCAAGTGGGGCTTATTCCAGGATTGTAAAATTAATTTAACATTTAAAAAATCACTCAATATTTTTTGTTCTTCCAAACCCACAGCAGGAGTCACCCCAAAAGTGACAGCAGGGTAGTTTCCATGAGGGAGTGTTCCGAGTCATCCTGAGACTGAGCTGGTTGGGATTCAAAGAAAGCAGCACTAAACACCAGGGTAATCAGTCCAAAACATTTATTAGGGGAACTTTTATATGCATGAACTGCAGCAATCCTCACCACAAACAGCAAGGGAAAAGGCTAGAAGTTACAAGGGGATTAGGATATAGAATTTGGCTCAGGGCCACGGCCAGTTTATTTTAGCGTTTTGGGCAACAAACTAGATAACTTTATCAGTGCCTGGAAATGTTTAAGGTCTCGGTTTGGATTCAAGCCTGCTAGGAAATATCCACAGCTGGCCAGGTCACACAGCAGTCAAGGTGCTCTGTGATTTTCGGTCACGACATGGAAAGACAGCTGGGGAACTTGGAAGCCCTACACAATATATTTCACTATATTAACCGACTAAACAAGGAAAAAAACATGATCATCTGAATAGATACGG